CGGTTCAAACCCACCAGCCACTCCTCGGAAGGAAGGTTGGGCAATCCTACTTCTGTAGTGATACTGCCTCGGAAACCCAAGGAGGGGTCACTATGAGTCGAGGCCAACTCGACGGCATATAACAACAACAACAACAATCATTAATATCACATGCAAGTAAAATTTTGCTGAAGATAATTCAAAAACCATTCCAGCAATATATTGACAGGGAACTTCCAGAAATTCAAGCTTGATTCAGTAAAGGACATGGAGCAAAGGATATCACTGAGGATGTCAGATGGATCTTGGCTAAAAGCAAAGAATACCAGAAACATGTTATCCTGTGTTTTATTGATAACACAAAGGTATTCAACTGTTGTACATAGGGTCACTAAAAGTCAGAGTCAACTTGATGGCACCTAACAACAACATACTTAAGTCCTGGGTAGGGGACTATACCCGTGACCCTATATAAGTTCAGCAGATGATATTTCTACATATTGATTTGTATGTGCTATGAAAATATTCATGTATATAATAGAGCAAAGATGGGGGCAATGATATGAAAATCTCTTAGCCATATCTAAAAACAAAACAAAACAAAACAAGCAATATGGCTGGACCATTTTTCTTATATTAACCCTACTTGTAGTCAAATTTCTCCTTCACTTTAATGGAAGGGACTAGTAGAAACAACCAAATATGTAATCTTTATAAAACATTCTTTTTATTTGGAATGCAATGAGGTAATAACTCAGATATCCACTAATGTATGCCTAGCCACACCCTGTATACTTATGTAATCTTTGTCCTTATTCTTAGGCCAGGATCTACAAAGCATAAAATTGACTCCTGAGATAGATCCAACCAAAATTATTTTTAAAACAAACTTCAAAATTAAAATCTTAGTAGAAGCCACATATCAATGTTGAATGTTACATGCATGTGGATAAAATAATATGCAAACAATTTAAAATATTCCACAATATATACATGTCCCATACCTGGAGTATAGCCCCAGGGTTCATAGTATGATGGAAATACTCCAAGATGACAGCCTCTGACAAACTCCTCATAATCCATGGGTAGTAAAGGGCTGGTGGAGGATAGGAACTCTGGGTGCAAAATCACCTAAGATAGGAAAATTCACATGAAAATAAAAGAAAAAATAACTAAATTAAATCCAAAAATATCTTATAATTTCATTGTCAATATTATAGAATACTTGGGTTCAAGGTTTGGGGGAAAAAGGAAATAAGGGGAAAAGGAAATAAGGAGAAAAGAAAAAAAAAAAAAAGGAACTTGAGAGATTTTTTTTTCCCTCTTTTTCTCTTCTTCTTGTAGAGGTTAAAGTATCTGCTTTGCAGACTTTACTTTCCCACAGAATGCCCATTTTTGGCTCTCATGTTCTGATACAGCCTTATACAGTAAACATTATATTCTTTCTCAAACTTATGACATCTTTGCCTTATTTCTCAATTTTTTCTCAACTTGAGAAGGAAAGAGGGGCTCACCTCACATATAACCTGAGCATGAATTAGCCAAATAAACTGGAATACCTGCTACTTTCCCTCCTCTCTTCCCACCTCCCTCCCTTCCTTCTTTCTCCCCACTTTGATATCAATATATCTCCAATGCTAACTCCACACCTCAGGGGTTAGTTTAGTTTTCTCCCTTTCCATATTTGTATCTCCTTTCTACAAAATGAGATACCTGGCTTCCATTCTCTTTAATTATTTACTTATTGGGTCAATCCTCTTCTATGGACCTAATCTCTTTTCTCCACCTCCATTCCTTCCCACGTGCAGATCACATCTTCTCGCCACTCTGGCTCTGACTCTCTGTTAGAGGCCTCTTCTCCCCAACCTGCAGTGTGGATTTTCCTCACCCTGCGTAACCTCTGATACCCTTCTCTGGACTACCACAACACCTGCCCCTTTCAAGTGCAGATATCTATCTTGATATCTTGTGTTGCCCTACCTAATAACTTTAGAAATTCATTGTTCAGGAAGGAAAGGAAAACAGAAAAAGGAAGAGAAAGAAGAAAAAGATTTTTTTTAAAAAAGAACATTATACTTCTCTTTTTTATTCAAGTAATAAGTATACATTCTTCCTAAGAGAATACTTTGAAGAAAAACCCTCATTTGGATATATAAGAATAATGACAATGACATCTATATAACACTTTATATATTATAGATAATTTTACATGCATTAACTCATTTAATCTAAACAACATTGTGAGATGGGGAGAGTAGGCATTTTCTTTATCCTAGCTTCAGAAATAGTCAACTAAGAAATAAAGAGGGCAATTGAATTATTTAATTTCAAATTTGCTTCATTACTTTATAATCTTATCATATAGAAAGGATTTAAGTAAAAAATAGGTGGTAGTTTTCATCATAATGGAGAGATTTAACCCACTGATTCCCCAGAACTTTACAGGCATTAATGCTGTCTCGGGAGCTCTGGTAGCATAGTGGCTAAGGCGCTTGACTGCTAACCAGAAGACTGGCAGTTCAAACCCACCAGCCACTCCCCGGAAGGAAGATGGGGCAATCTACTTCCGTAGTGATACTGCCTTGGAAACCCAAGAAGGGATCGCTATGAGTTGGGTCCAACTCGACGGCACAAAACAACAACAACAACAATGCTGTCTCAGTAGATCCATAAATAGGAGATAAGTTAAACTTAAGAAGAAATAATATGGTTAAATGTACAAAGCTAGTGCCCCAAAACGATGATTTGTTCAATCATAGGAATCACAAAATGGCAAAGAAAAGGTGGATAAACTATTCTTCCACAAAACATAATTTCAGTTCCTATTAGGATCAAAGTACTATACTAGAAATAAGAAGGAAAAGACAGAGATTCTGACTGTATGAGCAGGCATGAAATTGGGGCCCATTGCACTCTCTTGACAAAGAATAGGAAAAGGGATTTGAAAAACAATGTACCTACTTTAGCATTTCCAAGTTTAGGAAAGCTCTTATTCTCCAAAGTTCCTTCTGGAACATCAAAACACCATGGCTCATTCCTTTTGTTCCCAGCCAAGCAGAGTGACAGCACAACTAAAATAAGAAAACAGCTGCTCTGGATCTTAAACCAACCAATCACAGAAATGTTGGCTGAGAATGGGATATTAGAAGTCAGCCCAGGGTACTAAGAGGATGAAAAGAGATCCTATATAAAAAGCTCAAAGCAGAGTCCCCGGTTCACAGCAGTTCCTTAATCTCTAGGGAAAAAAATCTTGTCTGACCCTTTATTCACCCCAGGAGGGAACTAAAGTCCCAGGAGGCTGGTTTACTTTCACAAAGTGGTAGCCCAGGGTTGAGACCTGATATTTGTAGTCTGAGGCTTTTCTCACTACAGGTGTGTGTTATTTAACACCCACAATACACTCCGTGAAATGGGATGTTATGTGATTTGGCTGTTGTGTGAACAGCACAGCTTCTAGTTGTCCTAATCGCCACTGCTGACAGACGCTGAAGGAATGAGTGGTGGCCGAGTGGGTAGGGGCCAGATTGAGAGGCAGTGGAGTGGGCTCAGCCCCACCCACTGTTCTGCCTACCTGAGAACCCAGAACAGCCCAGGCCCTTCACAGCTGCCATGGCCTGTCTACCTGCTGGACAAAGCCTGGAAAGCCTGAGCCTAGACCCATGGCCTCTGCCTCACCTGCCTGTAGCTCATGGTCCAAAAACCAAACAAAAACCAATCCCACTGCCATTGAGTCAATTCCAACTCACAGCAACCCCCACTGGGTTCCTGAGGTGGTAAATCTTTACGGAAGTAGAAGCTGTGCTGTTCACACAACAGCCAAGGAAGAAGATTGCCCAGTCTTCCTTCTGCAGAGTGGCTGGTGTGTTTGAACTACCAACTTTCTGGTTAGCAGTCAAATGCCTTAGGCACTGTGCACCAGAGCTCTTTACTCCTATGGTCTAGTGTTGCAAAAAATCTGGATTTGGAGTCTTTAAAACCATTAGAGGGAAATAATAAACAAAAAGAGAACTGCTTTCCCTTTAAAAAAAAAAAAACCCTTATCATACCCCAGGTTATAAATATCTAATTTATGGACAACTCCTACTTGCCTTTTAAACTGGTTCTGTCATGACTGATGAAGCAAAATATGAGCAGACTGGAAGTTTACAGTTTGGCAGATTTGGCACAGTACGTGCAATGGGAAAAATGATGGTCAAAGCCCTGGAATGGGAAACTCAGAAGAGGCGCAGTGAGCCCTTTTTGGAGTTTGATGTATGGGACTGGTTTATTGGCCAAGCTATAGGAGAGTGACACATATTCAAAGTGCATATTCAAAGTGGCATGGTTGATAACCAAATTTGAGTGGGGGCACTGCTATCTTTGAGCAGAGAAATGCTGCTTTGAACTGTATCCAAAATTCTAGAACAAGAGATTTGGTTGCTATGCAATGTGTATACTTCTTCTGTAAGAGGGATATGTTTCTAGCAAGACTTTGACCCATATTTTTTTTTCTTTTCTGGCTTTTTTTCACTTTGAAAATTCAAGTTTGTTATGGTTACACTTCCTTAGCCATGACTGAATCTGGCAGAACCAGTTTGAAACCCTGACAAATTCTGAAAGACACAAGTATGGATTTTGTTCACAACCCATGAACTGCCTGTATATGTGGTCAGAAGTTACTTGAATGGATGTTAAGTGATGCATACCTGTATTACCATGCTAACTGAAGTTGGATAGGTAACTAAATTCAAATTCAAAATAATCTGCAATTTTTTGCTGAATCAAAATGGTGACATTTATATCAATCCAACCCAAGATTTATAAACCACTTTATTGTTGTTGTTGTTAGGTAATGTGGAGTTGGTTCTGACGCATAGTGACCCTATGTACAATAGAATGAAACACAGCCATCCTCACAATTGTTGCTATGCTAGAGTCCACTGTTGCTATGCTGGAGTCCACTGTTGCAGTCACTGTGTCAGTCCATCTCTTTAAGGGTCTTCCTCTTATTCCCTGATCCTCTGCTCCAGGTACTGATCCCTTGTGAAAACATGACTGAAGTACAAAGTCTCACCATCCTCACAGCTAAGGAGCATTCCTGCTGTACTTCTTCCAAGACAGATTTGTTCATTCTTGGCAGTGCATGGTATATTCAATATTCTTCACCATCAATGCTTCTTTGGTCTTCTTTATCCATTGACCACCTTCTGCATGCATATGAGGCTTTTTTAAAATACCATGGCTTGAGTTAGGTACACCATAGTCCTCAAAGTGACATCTTTGCTTTTTAATCCTTTAAAAAAAAAACCAAGAGGTCTTTTACAGCAGATTTGCCCAATGTAATACATTGCTTGATTTCTTGACTGCTGCTTCCATGGGCACTGATTGTGAATACAAGTAAAATGAAATCCTTGACAATATCAATCTTTTCTCCATTTATTGTGATATTCCTTATTGGTCCAGTTGTGAGGATTTTTGTTTTCCTTCCTTATGTTGAAGTATAATCTATACTGAAGGCTGTAGGCTTTGATCTTCACCAGTATGTGCTTCAAGTCCTCTTGGCTCCAGCAAGCAAGATTTTGTCATCTATATATCACAGTTTGTTAATTAGTCTTCCTCAAATCCTGGTTCTTCTTCATATAATCCAGTCTCTCAGATTATTTGTTCAGCATACAGATTGAAAAGTATGGTGAAATGATACAACCCTGAAACATACTTTTCTGATTATAAACAATTCAGTATCCCATTGTTTCATTCAAATGACTGTCTCTTGGACTATGTACAGGTTCCTCTTGAGTATAATTAAGTGTCCTATAATGTCTATTCTTCACAATGTTATCCATAATTTGCTATGATCCACACACTCCAATGCCTTTGCGCAGTTAATACAACACAGGTAAACATCTTTCTGGTATTCTGTGCTTTCAGCCAAGATCCATCTGATATCTGCAATGATATCCCTTGTTCCACATTCTCTTCAGAATCCAGCTTGAACTTCTGGCACTTCCCCATCAATGTACTGCTACAGCCATTTTTTAATTATCTTCAGCAAAATTTTACTTGTGTGTGATATTAATGATATTGCTCAATAACTTCCACATTCTGTTGAATCGTCTTTCTCTGGAATGGACACAAATATGAATCTCTTCCAGCCAATGGCCAGGTAGCTGTCTTCCAAATTTCTTGGCATAAACAAATTTCAGCTTTACATATGCTGTTGAAACATCTCAAACATTATTCTTTCAGTTCCTTGAAGCTTGTTTTTCTGCCACTTTCTTCAGTGCATCTTGAACTTCTTTCTTTAATACCATTGGCTCTTGATCATATGCTATCTCCTGAAATGACTGAACATCAACCAACTCTTTATGGTACAGTGACTATGTGTATTCCTTCCACCTTCTTTTGATGTTTCCTGCATTGTTCAATATTTTGCCCATAGAATCCTTCAGTATTGCAACTCAGGGCTTAATTTTTTTTTTTTTCAGTTCTCTCAGCTTGAGAAATGCCAAGCATTTTCTTTCCTTTTGATTTTCTAATTCCAGATCTTTGCACATTTCATTATTATACTTTACTTTGTCTTCTAGAGCTGTCCTTTGAAAGCTTCTGTTCAGTTCCTTTGCATCATCATTTCTTCCATTCGCTTTAGCTACTCTCCATTCAGGAGGAACTCTGGTAGCATAGTGCCTAAGACACTTGACTGCTAACCAGAAGGCTGGTGGTTCAAACCCACCAGCCACTCCTCAGAAGGAAGATGGGGCAATCTACTTCCGTAGTGATACTGCCTTGGAAACCCAAGTCGACTCGACATCACATAACAACAACAACACTCTCCATTCATGGACAAGTTTCAGAGTCTCTTCTGACATCAAACAAGAAGCATCAGTAGTTGGAAAATATATCCTTGGTGACAGAAATGATGCTGGAGATAGCATGATAGAATTTTGCAAGACCAACAACTTATTCATTGCAAATACACATTTCCAACCACATAATTGGTGAGTGTACACATGGATCTCACCAGATGGAATGCAGGAATCAAATAGACTGCATCTGTGGAAAGAGACAATGGAGAAGCTCAATATCATGAGTTGCAACAAGACCAGGGCCCAGCTAGAACAGACCATCAATTGCTCACATGCAAGTTCAAGTTGAAGCTGAAAAAAATTAAAATAAGTCCATGAGAGCCAAGAGATGACATTTAGTATATCACACAAGAATTTAGAGGCCAATAAGAAAATAGATTTAATACATTGAACACCAATGACTGAAGACCAGCTGAGTTGTGGGAGGACACAATACATGAAGAAACCAAAGGTCATTAAAAAGACAGGAAGGGAAGAAGAAGAAGAAAAAAAAAAAAAGACCAAAATGGATGTCAGAAGAGACTTTGAAACTTGCTCTTAAGCAGAGAATAGCTAAAACAAATGGAAGAGAAAACTACTCTATAGTAAATTCTAAAAAGATACAGATAATCAAACAGGTACATATATTGGAATAGGTCTTTAGCTAGTGTCAATTTTTCAGTACAGTTAATAAAATAAAAAAACAAAATATCTAATTTTAAATTGACCAATGTTTATCTCAGTGCTTTGAGGGTAGATTAAATATCACAAAGTACTATGATCTCATTTCTTTGTGTGGGGGTGTGTGTTCACTTTTTTTTTTTTTTTTATAATCTCAAGATTTTCAGTCAAGACCAGGAAAGAAAGAAACCTTTAATAACATCAGAGGGAGATAGCGTTAAAACAAAGGCTTTGTTTGTTTATTTATTTATAAGATTGTTGTTGTTGTTATGTGCCGTTGAGTCGAGTCGACCCTGACTCATAGTGACCCCTCCTTGGGTTTCCGAGGCAGTATCACTACGGAAGTAGGATTGCCCAACCTTCCTTCCGAGGAGTGGCTGGTGGGTTTATAAGATAGGGAACTTCAAAGAATATTTGTAGATAGCAAATGGAAGAGCCAGTGTTAAAGAAGAAATGCATTATATGAAAGAGGATAAACAGGGCAAGTTTCCTAAGAACGTGGGAGGGAATAAGATCCTTAAGTAGCCCTTAAAATCTGAAGGAAAAGAAGAATAGGTGAGAATCTATATGTGTGACCAACAAGGAGTGACACTTACATTAAATTATCAATTAGGTCATCTGCTAAAATTGAAAGAAGAGAAAGTGAGAAATACTGAAATGATTGATAAAAGCTGTGACAACTTGATCTAGAAGACCTAAAAAAAAAAAAAAAATTCACTGCCATCTAGTTGGATCCAACTCATAGCAACCTATCCTTGGGTTTCTGAGGCGGTTATCACTACGGAAGTAGATTGCCCAAAAATTGGGTAGGAATAAACAGTTCTCTGTTTATATGCACCGCATTGTCTCCAACACCTAGCCCAGAGCATGAAAAGTGAGAGGCCCTTAGTAAACATTATAGAGAATGAGGTCCACAGTGGCAGAAAGCAGGTCTTATTCATTTAAATACCCTCAGCAACTAGTGCTGTACCTGGTCATTGTGGGAACTCAAAAGTCAACAGAATGACTAAATCTACAGAAAATTACATAAAAATATCATTAGCCACATTCTATGAAATTTGAAACTTCACATGATCCCCTTAAATTGTACGTTAGAAAGAAACAAAGATGATTTGTATTAATATTTGGGGTTCTTTAAAGTAATCTTTACAGAATAAGTGTACATTAAAATTTAGTAGTTTTCTTATACCATTCGCAGTGTTATACAATAAAAATAAGTGTTAGAAAAAAATTAGCATTTAAAAGTCATAAATATTCTTCAATTTTCAAGAATAATTCTGTGGTGGTTCAGTTTGTGTGTCAACTTGGCTGGGCCTGGTTGAGTGGCTGGGCAGCTGGTGGTAGTTATTCCCCATGATGAGACTGGCCATCAGCTCCACAGTGGGATCTACCACAAGCAGCTGAGTAGCTGCCTCTGGGAATGTGGTCTGCTTCCTGTATATAAGGAGAAGCCTTAGGAATGGTCTCTAGCCTAGGGCACGCTTGGATCCTGCATATAGCCGTGTCATTGCTCAGCAGCCTGCCATGCTCTGCCGACCTTGGGACTTAAGTGGACTTAAGTTAATGGCCTGCCGTGTGGTTTGGTAACATTGGGACTTGTCTTTTAACTTTTCAACCTTGAGGCTTCTCAGCCTCAGCAGCCAGCAGCTGTCTGAGTGAATGCTTCTAGCTCCAGTGGGCCAGGAGCAGGAGGCAGAGCTGGACCCTAAGGCTGAGGGGCTTTCCCCCAGCCTCTAGAGCCTGGCACTTTGAACTTGGACTTAAAGCCTCCAAATTGTAATAATAAACTCCTGTTTGTCAAGGCCATCCCATTTGTGGTATATTTCTGTCACAGTGGCAATAGATAACCAGAACAAATTCCAAAATATTCATTATACTCTAAATACCTAAGAGAGCAAGCAGAATTAATGTCTTTAGAATTATCAGTTAAAATATTTCTGACAGATACTAAAACAAGTAAGGGAAGTTTCAAATAAATTCTCAAAAAATATAGTCTACATGATTTTTAAGTGTCCTACATAAACAGTTAGTTCTACCTTAACTCTGTCTGTGCGGCTGTTGAAAAGTCCAATACGTCTAATGGTGCTGAGGATGGGATCAGTGGAATCTTCAATCATGTTGTGAGTGGTCACTGGAGGCAAAGAATGTCGCTGAAGTAACAGAGGGAAGAAAATGTCAATTTGTGAAAAGAATGAGTATAACTCATTTCCACAAGAGGTCATTGGTAACATTTCATCCAACCTTTCTGCCCTCAGTCTTTTGAGATGACAGTAATGACGATGATTAAGTGTTGTGTGTGTTTCAAAGGAAAATAATTGTCTGGAGAACTTTTTTTTTTTTCATATTGGGGACACATGAAGCTTTTGTTTTTCATCTGCAGCCACTATGTGAAAGGCCCAGGGCAGTTGACTGCTTTTGGGACTTACTTGAAATGTAAAGTATAAAGGTGAACTAAGATCTTGACTCAAGAAGACTTACTCTCCTGGATCTTTCCAAATAGGCTGTCTCCTAGCACCCAGCTTCACTGTTAGGACTACTATGACATGAGCTTCAGAACACACGTAACACACACATTGGGGTTTTTCTTCTTGCAATTTGATTTTGAAACATTCACATTTTTTTTTTCTATGACTTAAAATTCTATGCTTTTGAAAATTTTTGATTTTTTGTTATTGCAAGATATGCAGTTTTTCAATTGAATTCCAAATGTACAAAGATTTACACTTTAAAAAAGGGATCCTAAAACTGTTCATGAAAGAGAAAATACAAAATTGTCATTTAGATGAATATATAAGAATGTCTTTTCTAACTATCAGGTTAGAAAATTTCCTAAATTAGCACATGCCAATAAATTAAAATACTGATTTAAAAAATGGGGAAAATTCAGTATTTGCACAGCGAGATAGCTCACGGGGCAGGAATACACAGGAAAAGAGGACACAGGTAAAAGGTAACCACAGGGAGGAAAAGGGAAAGAGTTGTTACATTATGGGGATTGCAATGAATGTCATGAAACAAAATGCATATGAACTATTGTATGGAAAATAAATTTGCTGTTAACTTTCATCCAAATCATAATTTCATAATTTTATATATATATATGTTATGGGAAATGGCAAGCATACATTTTCTTTATTACCTGAGTTGAAAAGATGGCTCTTTTCATAATTGTTAGATCATCTCGATCCAGAATGTTGTTTATGTCAGGAATTTCTCCTCTGTGGGGAAAATAATGTTAATAGTAAAAATAAAAATAACTGGTAATAATTCAGTACTTCCCTGTGATGGATATTTTTCCAAGCATTTTAAAAATAAATGTAAAATGGAATATTATTCATAAAAGAATTCAGCTATCAAGGCATGAAAAGACACAGAAGAAACTTAAATATATATTGCAAAGTGAAAGAAATAAGTCTGAAAAAGCTATATACTGTAAGACTCCAACTATGACATTCTGGGAAATACAAAATTACAGAGCCAATGAAAGGATCAGTGCTTGCCAGAGGTTCTGGGGAAAGGAGATAATGATTATACCTATGCCTTACTTATCAATTATCGCATTATCCTCATCACACATTTTTGACAATAGTGAAAAATCTACTATCTGATTATTTGTGTATTAATGTTATAGGCTTCACAGTAGTGAACATTAAGCTGTGAGGTAAGAATATTGTTGGCTGTGATGTTAAGGTCATGTGTCAACTTGTCTGGGCCATGATTCTCAGTGGTTTGGCAGTTATGTTAATGATATAATTTGGCAGTTATATAATTGTCTTGGTGACTTCGTGCTGCTGTAACAGAAAATACCACAAATGGGATGGCTTTAACAGGAGTTTATTTTCTACAGTTTTGGAGGCTGGAAGTCCACATTCAAAGTGCCAGCTTCTAGGCACTGGGTGAAAACTCCTTGAGCTTGGGCTATTGCTCCTGGCCCACTGAAGCTGGAGGCTTTCTTCACTCAGGCAGCTGCTGGCTGCTGAGGCTGACAAACCCAAGGTCAGCAAGTAAAAAGGCACAGTCTTGATATTACCAAACCACATGGCAAGCCATTGATTCAAGTCCATTAAGAGTCCCAAGATCAGCAGACAACGTGGCAGGCTGCTGAACAATGACTCAGCTACATTCAGGGTCCAAGCATGCCAAAAGCTTCAGACCATTCCCAAAGTTTCTGCTTATACATGGGAAGTAGACCACACCCCTAAAGCAGCTACTCAGTTGCTCACAGATTCCACCATGGAGCTGATTACCAATCTCACCTAGGGGGATAACTATATCCAGCTGCCCAATCACTCAAAACCAGGCCCAGCCAAGCTGACACATAACCTTAACTGTGACAGTAATGATATGGTCATCCTCCATTTTTGCATAAAGCCAATTTTTGCATAACAACCTTTGGAACCTCACCATTCTTTCTAATAAGTGAGGAGTGGATGTAGTAGGTGCAATAGGTGGGCTCCATGCTGTTGAGTCAATAGCAACCCTACAGGGCAGAGTAAAACCCATAGAGTTTCCAAGGCTATAACTCTTTATGGAAACAGACTACCAGATCTTTCTTCCTTAGTGACTTCAAACTATCGACTTTTTGGCTAGCAGCCAAGCACTTAACCACTGTGCTACAAGGAGACCTTTTTAATAGGTGGAGGGCAATGAATTTTCAGGGTAGTGAAAATACTGTAATGATGGACCCATGACATCATGCATTTTTGTCAAAATCCTTAAAACTGCAACACAAAGAAAGAAGCTTAATGTAGACTATTAAAAAAAAAAACAAACTCACTGCCGTCAAGTGGATTGCAACTCATAGAGACCCCTCCTTGGGTTTCTGAGGCGGTATCTCTAGGGAAGTACATTGCCCAACCTTCCTTCTGAAAATGTAGACTATAGACTTTAGTTAATAATAATGTCACTTTTATTAATTCTAACAAATGTGCCACACTAATATAAGATGTTAATATTAGAATGAACTGTGAGGAAGGTGAGGAAGAACATAGAAATTTTATCCTCTGCATGCTCATTTTTTATTTTAATAAAAAATTTGTCTAACAGTAAAGTTAATTAAATAAATAAATATTTGCCAGCATTGTTTCATGGAGAGATCTGTTTCAGCTAATATTCATCAATCAGCTAACTGTCTTGAGATGTTGACTACCATCAACTCAAACAAATTCTGTAGTTGGAATGCTCAATAAACTACAGTAATGAGTCTTGAATAAAGTTCATAATTGAATTTACATGCACATTGTTGTTGTTGTTGTTGTTGTTGTTATGTGCCGTCGAGTCGGCCCCGACTCATAGCGACCCCTCCTTGGGTTTCCGAGGCAGTATCACTACGGAAGTAGGATTGCCCAACCTTCCTTCCGAGGAGTGGCTGGTGGGTTTGAACCGCCAGCCGTCTGGTTAGCAGGCAAGTGTCTTAGCCACTATGCTACCAGAGCTCCCTTACATGCACATATACATACCAAATTAAAGCAAACATAATTTCCTGATGAAACACATAAATTTCTAATATGTGGAGAAGTTTGATAAAAAGATAACTTTGATAGCAGTAAAGAAAATAGAAATTCATCATTGAAACTGAATATTGACCATCAGGAGGACACTTTCATATATTTTGCTCACCTCTGATTACTACATTCTAAAGTGCTTATAACATTTCTGCGTCTAAATTGATTTTTTTCCCCCGCTGGTAACAGAAAAATGATTGCCATCTTTGATCATGGATCAGAAAACAAGCTGATTTTTCTACATACTATAACAAATATATATAATATCAATATATACTTTATTATTTATTGAATATGTATAAACATATTTAATGTTTATTAAGTCAATACATATTTAATATATTAAGCCAATATATATTTAATACATTTTAGTCAATATATATTTTTACTTAAAATCTCATGAAATCTGGTTGCAGGAGACATCAAGCTCAATTGGCATAACATACTACACAAAACGTTGTTCCACATCCTACTTTGGCGAGTAGCGGCTGGGATTTTAAAAGCTTGCAAGCAGCCATCTAGATGCAATGATGGGTCTCTCCACATTCAGAGCAGAGAAGAATGAAGAAAACCAAGGACACATGGAAAAAATTAGTCCAAGGGACTAGTACACCATGCGATCCTCAACCTGTATGAGTATGAGACCAGAAGAACTAGATGGTGCCCGGCTACCACTGTTAACCACTCAGAGGGGGATCTATATAGGAGATCTTGGATAGAGTGGGAAAACAATGTGGAACAAAACTCAAAATCATTTAAAAAAGAGAGAGAGAGATCAGGTTTACTGGTCTGATAGAGCCTGGTGGAGCCACTAAGACTATGCCCCCTAGCTGCCCTTCAGATCTGGAAATGAATCCTCTCCTGTGGCTTCCAGCCAAACAAAAGACAGGCATATGAACTGAGCATTTACATTAGGTAGATATCATCCTTGGAGAGATCAATCATGGGAGAATAGAAGGGCTGTGTATGCACAGGGAGACAGCTCTGGGGTCAGGAGTGCATGGGAGGGAAGGATACTAGGAAGAGGTAACTATGGGGAGGAAGGAGAAAGAGAGCTGTTACATTGTGGGAGATTGGAGTCAATGTCATGAGACAAAGTATATGCGAACTGTTGTATGGAAGATGAATTTGCTCTGTAAACTTTCACCCAAATCACAACAAAAATAAAATAAATCTCATGAAATGTCCTTCAGCTGCAGATTGACACATTAACCCTTAATGTGGTCCTTATTGAATTAGAACCTGTATATATATAAAGTTTTTCTCATCTGCACAACCTATTTACAAATATTTCTCAAATGATAAAACAAATCTTGCTTATGTGACTTAACATGTCTTCAAAAGCTAATAATTCTTCACATTTGGAACAAAATGAATATATTACAGTGTCTGCTTGTTAACTTTGAATAGTAAAATCCTAAATGTTCTATGTTAAGTATTCTAAGCACCTACCTTAATAATGCATCATAGAGTTTCTTTCCAAACTTTTCCTTCACAGACTGTGCAATGTCCCTGTTTGAAACAGAAAGATTTATAATTTAAACAGTGTCATAATTTTTAATTTTAATTTTTTTTTGACAGTGCTGTTCTTTTCCCCATTCATTCTCTGAAAAGAGACACATCTCTTTTGCATGGTTTCTTCCATTAGATCTCTATTTGCCAATTTAACTTGAGTTCAAATCTCTAGAGCTGAGGCAGCAGAATATCCTGACCAGCCCAGAAAGCTTAAAAATCAATCCCTCTTTTACTTGAAAATAATCAGGGGTAGAGAGGAGATGAAAGAGGGGGAATGGATGGCAGTACAGATACAATGAGATTAAGAATTAGTTGATAATTGCTGAATCTGGGTAATGTTTATACAGGAAACATTACATTAATCTTTTGACTTTTGTATGTTTGAAAATGTCCACAATAAAAAGCTTAAAACACAGTTCAACTCATCTTTAAAAATTACTACAGAGACTTTTCTTTCCTCCATGGAAGCACATTCCAAAGTTTTGTTTTGTTTTGACAGTAATACAGTTTTATAGTATTACATAATCTAAAATAGTAATAATACAAAGAAGAGAGAACAAGTAGCATTGTATTATATCAATCTTAAAAAAGTTCATGAAGCTATATCAGAGATCATTCACTTAAAAAAATCCCTTATTGCTTGAGGTCATTAACGAGATGTGAATTTACCATAGCTGTTTTCGCACTGCTTGTCCTTTCAGAGTTTCCACGTTGAAATTATTTGTCTTGGCAGGCATAATGAAAAACACAACCACTGTGACGTCACTTTTATGCATCTGATGAAGGATTAGCAAACACAACAGGGTTAGCTATCAAAGAAAAAATACAGTGTACACCAGATGGACCTTAAACTTTGAAAAAGTGTTTTTAAGTACTTTAGAGAAAAGGAACACTTATTTATGACTCACAGAGAAGTTATAGTTACATTCCTGGGACTATGAGAAATTTAAATTTAAATCTTGCTTTCAATCCAGAATTCTCAATTTACTGGTTTAAAATTTTGGACATACAACCTCTTCATGTTATTAATAATCTAAAATATATAACCTAATCCCTATTGATATCACTGTGCTTTCAATGGTTTTTTCAAAAATAACGTAAATGTGAACTAATGTTACAAGGCTAAGGTTAGTCCTTTAAAATTTCTGATTGGAACTTTAATGAGTAATTTAGTTTTGGTTTATTCTCTCTCTCTCTCTTTTTTTTTTTTTTTCACAGTTTCCAGTTAAATTTCTTCTCTCATTTTCTTGCTCTAATGGAGAGGCACAAGGACACATTCAGTATTTTTGGTATGGCAGAACCCATGCTGAATCCTTTAAAAATACATCTTACTCTAATCTTAGTGATGACCCTGTACAATAGATAATACTCTCTTCATTATACTAATGTGGAAAGAAGGGGCACGAAAGGTTACATATTTTGTCTGAGCTCCTGTAATAGGTAAGTGGCAGAGCTGGGATTCACACTAGTGTTTTGTGAATTTAAAATCTGTTTTCTTTTTCTCTTCCCCAAAATACCTTTGGCCTTTCAGGAGGAATGACAACAAATTAAGCAGCTCTGGGAATGAAAACATAAATTCAATTAAAACCATGAACATATGCATATTCATATATTCTGGAAACAACTGACTATCTCTTGAGTGGGGTGTTTTACCATCTAATATCCACATAATATGTTTGACACTATGGCCTGACATTCTATTCAGGAACTCCACAGAAGCCATAAAACAGGAAATCACCCCAAGAGTAACAAATGTGCTATTAAAGAAAACATGAACTCTATGACAAGAGCATGCCTTATTTTAAACAATTTCTCCAAGTATTTTTATTATCTTTGATGTCTTAAAAAATAGCTATAGGCTTTTTTTTCACATCTAACAATGAAGTGAATATTTAATAATTTAATAGATAAACTGGTTAACAATGTCCCACAACATGATGTAAAGCTATATAAGCTATGAAGTGTTCTGAAAAGAAACATACTAGGAAATATTATGAAATATAACATTCAGTCCTATTACATAGTCTTTGGTTTTTATTAATATATTGCTTTCTTATTAATGGGATTTTAGTAAGTTTTTTAGCATACTTGTTATAATATCTTCTTTAAGTCTAGAATAAATCTATGTTTAAGAAACAAATTTAACTGGATAGTAGGACAGAGAGTGGGAAATTTTTTATTGTCTTGTATCTCAATAAGATTTAAATTCTATGCTGGACACCTATGAGTGCTTTCTTGTTACCATTTTATATTTCTATGATGTAATTATAATATAAGCCAATAATATCAATCAAAGGTAATGATTTGGTACCATCTCCATAGTTGTATTTATTGGGATGTATTATATTGCTGGATTAGTTGGGAATTCATTTTAACTCCTAGCTTCTTGAGTGAAAAAATGATTCTACCTTGTTGGGAGTAGGAATCTGCTTTCTCCTTCTACATGTCCCCGCATAGTAGGATATCCTCTAGTTTAACATTTTAGGTTCTCTGAGGAAGGAAGAGTGGTTGGTGAGTTTGGGAGGAACGGGTTTGTGTGTGTGTGCCCCTTTGTACAGAGAACAAGTGCTCTGGTGCTTGACCATCAGCCTTGTGTCACTCTGAAGGCCTATTTTTGGGTCAGAAAATAATGGCAACGGTCAGAGCAACCTGTAGTTGGGTGGGAAGTCTAATACCAGGGTTCAGCATTAGGAAGTCCCTTATTGCCATGTACCCAAGCCACATCTTCAACTATAGTCTTCATCAGTTAAAAACATATTTTGTTTTTCTCTTCATTCATTTCTCTATATTTATATCAAACTGGTTACAAATCTCAGTGAGTTGCAAAAGATGTTACAATGAATGTTCATAGCATAGAACACATAATGTGATAAACTTGTTGAATTCTTTAAATTATATATACTTGATAATATCGACAAATACACACATGGACAGGGCGACAACCTTAATATGTAACTTCAAAGGCAGATATCATTTTTAGAATAGGGTTATTGCTTTAGTCTTTAAAATCATAAATTACATTGAAAACTATTTAGGTAGTTAGAAAGTTCTTCACTTCCCACACACAAAAAAATGCTCCCTAAAAGAACATTTTATTATGTTCCAGAGCTCTCTTACCCTCAGCAGGAAATTTAGCCTGGATAAGGATTCTAGGAAGATGTCAGCTCCTTTGTTCGAAAATTCATATCTCCCAGCAATGAAAAGGAACAAAGTCTTCTCAAGATCAAAGTCAAGATGACTAAAACAAAACAAAACAGTTTCAAATGAAGTAGAACAGCAGCAACAAAATGTACATGTGAATTCTATTAAAGTACAAAGAGGACTGGGAAAGATAAACATTTACTATATCAATCCTGTTTCCTCTGTACCAAAGATCACTAAAATCATTTTCTTTTTCTCTTTTTTAAAATTTTTATTTATAATAAAGAAAAGCATACCCATAGAAATGACCTCGAACAAAATCTTGGATCCTGGCCTTGTACATGGCATGTAGATTTTGAAACTCATGCACTGCTGAAAATTTCTTAACATTCAAGCCATTTGGAGTAACCACATCTGGAAAAGCAAAGCAAAATGATGAATAATTTCTTCTGAAAGGGTACCCTCACAAAAAAATCTATACAGGCAGATGTCTTTTAATATTGCTAGTTTCTGACAAGCAATGAATTAAATATTCATAAAACTTCAGAATTCTAAATCTTCTGGATGAAATAGGACATTAGGAGTCTCATTAAACATTAGGAGACATTAAACAAAAAACCAAACTCACTGCTGTTGAGTCTATTCCGACTCACAGTGACCCCCTCCTTGGGTTTCTGAGGCAGTATCTCTACAGAAGTAGATTGCACAGTCTTCCTTTTGAGGAGTAGCTGGTGAGTTTGAACCACCAGCCTTCTGGTTAGCAGTCAAATGCCTTAGGCACTACGCCAGGGAGCCTAAAATAACAATGAATGACTGAGCAATTGCAATGACTATTACAGTTTATATTCATCAATTGCTTGATGAATGTGTGAACCAGATATACTCTAAATGCTTTACTCTGTAACTCCTTTCATTCTTGCAACAACCATTGGAGTAGATGTTCTTAGTATCTGTATTTTCAGAGGTGAAAACTGAAGCACAGAGTTGCCCAAGATCATCTGGGTGGTAAGCGCAAGCAGAATCCATGCAGTCTGCTTCCTAGTGTTGTATCCTTAGTCCCGGAACCAAACTACTTCTACCTATCTTATTTCAACCAAATGTGCAGGAAATTTTGGGTCCGTGTGGAAAATTGGAAAGGTATCCCTTATTGCAAATAGGTAACTGAATCATTCTGCCCAAAAGATTTGTTGCTCAGAAGGAAGATGTTCTTGGTTTTCTAGAATATTGATCTGAAACAGGAAAGATAATGAGTGTTTAGGGAACATGATGGACACTATCTACTGAATTGAATACATGACCACTGCATTCATTAAAAGTGAGAACAAAGGCAATAAAAAAAAATGAAGCTGTGGTAGAGAGAATAACTCTAAAATATCTAGATCTTAATTCCTGGAACCTGTGAATATTACTTTATGTGGCAAAAAAGACCTTGCAGATGTGATTGGACTAAAGATCTCGAGATGTGGAGATTATCCTGACTCCAGTGTAATTACAATGGCCTTTATAAGAGGGAGGCAGAGGATACTGACTGCAAAAGAAGATAAGGTAATAAATTGATGGGAATAAAAATTAGAATGATGTGCTTTGAAGAGGGAAGAAGGGACCACAAAACTAGGAATGTAAAATGTCCCTAGAAGATAGAAAAGGCAGGGAAATGGATTTTCCTATAGAGCCTCTGGTGGCATAGTACCTAAGGCATTTGACTGCTAACCAGAAGGCTGGTGGTTCAAAGGCCAGCCACTCCTCAGAAGGAAGATTGGGCAATCTATTTCCATAGTGACACCACTTCAGAAACCCAAGAAAGGGTCTCTATGAGTCAAAATTGACTTGATGGCAATGAGTTTGATTTTTTGGTTTTATAATATATTATATAATTATATATTACATATAATATATATCATACTGCTGTGATTTTGCAATGGCTATTTGAGCTAAAATTATGAGTGTGTCAAAGTATTTTGAAGAATATTTTACCATTCACAAGCTTGAAATTGTTCCTCAAAAATCAATGCAGGCCTTCTTGTCATTTCACATTTTAAAAAATTGCTGACTTTTATGGGTTTTTAATAGGCAATTGGGCATTTGCTGTACTCTTACATACCTTGCCACAGCAATCAATTTTAAGTTGCTAAAGTTTCCTGTGAAAGCTTTAATGTGAAAAATTCCTGGAAAAATTGTACACTGTGTTAAGAAAAGTATGATAGTTATCTCTTAACATTTATATAGGGCTTACTTTGTGTCAGAACCTATTATAATATTTGAAATAATAATTTATTATAAAAATTAATTTCATATAACCCTACAAGAAAAGTTCTTTTTGTTGTCCCCATTTTACAGATGAAAAAAAGGCTTCTGAGAAGTTATTTGCCCAAAGTCAAGTAGCCATAAAGTAACAGAGGAAGGATTTAGAACCAAGGCTATCTAACCCTAGAGTCCATGTGCTATCCACTACACCATGGAATTATATCGCCCAAAAAGATATAGAAAGCAAGGATATCTATGGGAGTTTCTAAGTTATATTACATACAATTAAAAAGAAAAGATCTGATTCCTAAAATTCATTGTGTAATTAATTAGCCTAATGTATTAGGTCAAAGAGTTCTTCTAATATCTATATCAGAAATTTGTGGGTCACATTATAGCTATATACAAATGCACGTTAACTGTTGTTTCTAAAATATTGTGAAAACTGGCCATTATAGATCATAAGACATGGCTTTGAGAGAGGAGTTTAGCTTCTAAGATGTTTTCCTGATGAAATTATTGAGCATTTGGATATAAATTTAGCTAGTATAATAATCATTAAAATATTTATTAACATTAACTTTGAATATTTATTGTAATTGGCCATTAATATATTGATATATACATACAATATATTTCTATTTGGTCACTTGAAATCATACTATTTAAGGATATGGGATGGCAATATGCAGTTAAGGATTTATAATTTAAAAAATTAACTATAGCAGTTGAGAGTATTTTTTCAAACTAAAACTTCTTAGCATGTAATCCATAAGAGGCAGGCTGTTCAGTATCCAAACCCACTGCTACTGAGTCAATTCCGATTCATAGTGACTCTATTTGACAGAGTAGAACTGCCCCATTGGGTTTCCAAGGCTATAAATCTTTATGGAAGCAGACTGCCTCATCTTTCTCCTGCAGAACAGCTGGTGGGTTCAAACCACTGACCTTTTTGGTTAACAGCTGAATGCTTTAACAACTGTGCCATCAGAGCTCCTTTTCAGTACCCTACGGGAGTTATTTTGAAGTTCATTACTTTCAAGTTTCAAGGTAAATATTGTATTCAGTTGTCTATCTGTAATTAGCAAATTTATAATGTTGCTTTCCCTCCAGTATTTAAAAAAAAATGTCATCTATTCAATATCAGAAATGATTTTGAGTTGAATGTATGTTTAGATATAATAATGCAGTAATAAATAGGCCTTTGCCATTTAGTATACAGCATATTTTTTAAAAATCTTGTCCCACTCACAGTACCCATGCAAAGTTTTTACCTGGCATTTGTTCTTGAGCTGCACCCTAAGCATTGTAGCTGGTTATAGTTTTAATTGGGGAGGATTGCAAGGAAAAAACAAAGTCATAGTTATGCTACATAATGCTTTTCTTTTTTCTTTTTTTAGAATACTATCGGGGAAAATTTTAATGTTTAATTATCTACGAAAAGTCTATTGGCCTTCTTAAATCACTGTGTCCAGAGATTTCACAATTGCAGTCAGAGCAACCACGTGATTCTACCCTTATTTAGAAGTGGAGTAGAGTGCAGTGTTTCAGGTTGTAGTAGTAGAACATCCAAGTGACACCAGCTCTTGGGCAGCCAGACAAACAGGAGCTTGGGAAGATTTAGATAGTGATCCATACAAAATAATAATCACTGACATTTTTTAAACCTTTACAATTGGTCAGGCACTGATTTGAGCTCCTTCCGTGTCTTTATTAATTCCTGTAGTCATCATACAAATTTTAGATAAGAGTTAGTTTATTACCCCCATGTAACAGAAAACAGAGAGTTTAAATAACATGTACAGTATCACATAGCTACTAACATATATTCTAACACAAAATCAGTTTTGATACTGAATTCAAACAGTCTATCACAAAGTCCATGCTTTTTACCAGTATTCCGAATATAACTTCCTAATTGTCTTGGTTCTCTAGGGCTGCTATAACAGAAATACCACAGGTGGATGGCTTTAACAAACACGGATTTATTCTCTTACAGTTTAGGCTAGAAGTCTGAGTTCAAAGTGCTACCTCTAGGGGCTGAATGAAGACCCCTCATCCTTGGGCTTCAGCTCTGCCTCCTGTTCCAGGCCCACTACAACTGAAGCTATTTCTGATTCATGCAGCTACTGGCTGCTGAGGCTAGCGAACCCAAGATTGACAAGTGAAATGTCACTATTCCAAGATCGCCAGGCAACATGACAAGCCACGGGTTCAAGTTCAGGAACTGGAAATGAAGACTTGGCCAAATGCCGTGTTCAGATTTGCTAAAAAGCTCAATCTTTCTCAAAGGTTCCCCATATATACTAGAAGCAGGCTATGCCCCAGAGGCAACTAATTAGCTGCTTACAGCAGATTCCACCACGGAGCTGATTACACCACATCCAGACTCATCCTGGAGAATAACTGCCTCTAGCTGCCAAGCTACTCAAAGTCACAGCCCAGCCAACTCGACGTACAACTTTAACTACTATACTAAGAAACCAAGAATTAAAAAAAAACAGTTAAAAAATAAGATTCAGAATACAAACTTGGGGAATGCTCACTTTTAAAAGATAGAAGGAAGTAGAAAAGTATTAAAGTGCTTAAGAGAAATCATGTTGGAGAAAACATGGATTGTGCAGTGTCACAAAAAGTAAGGGAAAGATAGAAGCGCCTGTTGCCTTTAAATGATAAGGAATGTCAAGGAGCATTTTTTAAAAAGTGATTTTTGGAAAAGCAATTTCAGGCCAGTGCTGGAGATTAGAAGTCAGAGTCCAATGGGCTAATGAGTGAATGGAAGTGGTAACTATTGGTAATATTCTTCCAAGATATTTGGCAGCAGAGGAAGAATGAGGTTGTGTTGTCATTTGACAGGGTAGCAGCCTCAAGAGAAATTTTTATTTTTGAATAAGAAAAAAGGCACTTTTAAAAGCGCAGCCCTAGTGGCACAATGAATTAGATGCCATACCTCGTTTCGCAGGAAGGAGCTTGGTGATGCCACTTTCACTACTCAGGATGTGTGCTGCCTCTTTTAATGGCTTGCTGCAAAACCAAATGCTGAACTCTAGTTTCACTTGTCACCTATTTTCCGAAAAGCAAAAATCCTTTTTGGATTTCTTTCAGTTAGCGAAAACAGGTACTAGTATAGGTCTTTCATCTGGTAGCATAGGGGCTAAGGCACTTGACTGCTAACCAGAAGGCTGG